GCCCAGCTACCTGCCAGGACTGGGCGGACTAGGGCACAGGGACATCAGTGAGCTGCAGCTGTCCCAGGCTGGCTCACAGAGGGCTCAAGGAACAACGCATTGCAAGCCTGCAGGAGGTCCCAGTGGAAGGACACCTCTTCCCTGAAGCCAGATTCAGAGCCTGGAGCATGAGGTGACAGAGCAAGAGGGACTGCAAGGGACCAGTTGCCAGGTGGGCGGGCGTCATTCTTCCACTCAGTGGAACAGCCGTTGAGCAGAGCAGGAATTTGCGGTAACTTACCCTGGCCAGGTCTCATGCTAGATTCTGGGCCCCAGAGATGACAGGCAGCCCTTGCCTCAGGGTTCAAGTCTTGGCCCTCAAGCTAGAAAACACAATGGGTACGTGTGCGTGTGTGCCCCAAATCCCAACAAGATGGAGAACTGGAGAACGGATTGTAGTGTGGCTATGGGCCCATCGAGGGCTGCCTTCTTGCTCTGTCTCTGGCTCTGTCTCTTTCTGGTGAGGGCGTACACCCCCCAGCAGTGAAGGAAAAGCACCGGCGTGAAGGCCGAGGTAGGAAAGCAGCTCTCTCAGCAGCAGCAGTGTAGACGATTCGTCTTGCAAACCCAGCTCACCAAGCAGGCTCCTAGAAGGTTTCAGGGGTATTCGATGCCCGGTTCGTGCGTGTTTATCGAGGTGGTGGTGAGTTGTGTATCGGTATTCAAATACAAAAGGAAGAGGCTGTGAAAGCCTGTGCCGCTCCTACCAGCCTGTGAGGGACAAACTTTCGGTTTGCAGTGACCAGGACGCCAGACCTCTTCTGTGTCTCAGTCAAGGCCGTGCCCAGGCAGAGCCTTCTTGGTGCCGGCAGTGCAACATCTGCACAGGGAGAGCTTTGAGATGGGAAATGGCTCAAAAGGCTGAATGAATAGGATCTCCAGCTTTGAAAGAGAATAGGTACCAGGGCGTGGTGAGCACTGGGTTTCTATAAAGGAGGTTCAGCCTGGCAATGTGTTGCTGGTTCACCCTGCGTGAGGAATGTGGCATTTCTCCAGTGCTCGAGCAGGTAGTCTTTGAGGAGTGGCTTTCTCCAGGGCTAGATTACCACTTACTAGAGGGAGTTGAGGGGGATTTGGGCCCTGGATGGGGACTGGAGAAGACAGTATCTAATCTTCTATGATTCCATCAGGACTTGCTGAATGCACCCATCGGGTAAGGCTACCTGGGGCAGATGGACACTTTCTGTCCTGAAGAGCAGTTATTCAAGCCACTAAGAGGGTGCCAGAGAGAGTGCTTTGTGTCCCAGCCACAGAGGGCACCATACCTATCTCTTCAGAATGGCCAGGCCATCCGAGGCCTATACCATAGCTCTGGTGGTGCCCAGTGGCCTTGGGGCTACTTCTGAAATCTGTGTAAGAATCAAGTGCCTAAACTGGGCATGGATGGCTAAGACGTTCTGCAAAGCAGAACAACTGGCCGTGAACATTCCAAATTGCGCACACTACCCTGTAACTGTGTGCACCACTCCGTAGCTGTGCACACCACTCTGTAGCTGTGCATACCATCCTGTAGCTGTGTGCACTACAGGTGACCCTGTAGCTGTGCACACCACCCCGTAGCTGTGCGTGACACCCTGTAGCTGTGCACCACCACCCCGTAGCTGTGCACTACTACCCTGTAGCTGTGCACCTCCCCATAACTATGCACACCACCCCGTAGCTGTGCACACCATCCCGTAGCTGTGCACCACCCTATAGCTGTGCACACCACCCTGTAGCTGTGCACCACCCCGTAGCTGTGCACCACCCCGTAGCTGTGCACACCACCCCATAGCCGTGCACCATCCCATAGCCGTGCACCACCCCATAGCCGTGTACCACCCCACAGCTGTGCACCACCACCCCATAGCTGTGCACCACCCCATAGCTGTGAAGCACCCTGCAGCTGTGCACCACCCTGAAGCTGTGCGTGGCAGCCCGTGGCTGTGCGCATCACCCCGTGGTTGTGCGCATCACCCTGTGGTTGTGCACATCATCCCGTGGCTGTGTGCACAGGACTGGGCAGAGTGATCGATTATAGTGTAAGTTAGGGGCCCTTGCCATATGCAGAGGCAGGGTGTGTGTACCCTGCCTATGTACACGATTTTCCTGGCACATCTGTTGCCGAACCACTTTAAAATTCAACCTTTATAGGCAAGTTGATTTGTGTTTAGTGTTACACAAAGGATTATGTAACAAAGGGTGAGGCTATGTAAGCTGAATCAACTCTTATTATTCCCATTCAGAACAATATTTTAGTTGTAATTGTGCAATCGAGACTTCTGTTCCTCTGCGAGGAGAATGGAATGTTTATGATCCTTATTCATGAAGTAATTAAGAGGGGCCTTTTCATTCAGTTCAAGTGTCACGATCATGATCGGAGGCTGCTCTTGTTGTTCTTGAGCAGAGCACACCAGGGGCCAGGCCTTCCTCAGGCAGCAAGCACGTGGACGCGTGGCATTGCAGGGTATGTCACTGGGCACTGATTTGTCCAGACGGATGAGGCATGGTTGCTCGCTAGGGAACGTGGTGTCTGTGGGGAGCTAAGATGCAGACTTGGGGACTTGAACAGGCTGGGTGTGGCAGACCTTCAGTAAGTACAAGAGCAATCACCAACACACCCACTGCCTGTCAGACCCTAGTCCAGGGCCTGGCTCATTCGCCCACCCATCCTCAGCACACCCAAGCAGAATTCAGAGGCAGGTGGGTTGCAGTACCTTTGACTTGGGAGGAGACAGAGGTTTCTGAAGGAGGCACATTGCTCCCTGGGGTGTTTGTCGGGTGGGTGAGCTATGGACCACACTGCCAGGAGCTCTCCCATAGGAGTGGGGAGCCCCTGGAGCTGTATGCAGTGGACGGGTTGGCCGGAGAGGCGTCATTACATCGCTCAGGTGGCACGAGGTTACTTTCTGTCCTGGTGTAGTTCAGGGAGAGATGTATGGCCGTGGGACCTTAGATCACTGACACACCCAGGGTGCTCAGGCTGACTCAGGATCCAAACTTGGGCCTCCCACATGGTTCTAGCATCACACAGCAGCGCCCTACCAACTGCACCACCCAGTGGGTTGCTTAGCAATCTCACTGTCTCCAGCTGGGAAGGCCGCTGCTGGAGGACTGGGCCTGACGGTGCTGCTGAGACCCACAGCTCTGCTGGAGCCAGAGGAGGCCTGGGCAACTGGAGCGTCAGCAGGCTGTGGGTGTTTTAAAAACAAAACTCACCGCACACAGGTAGACGGTACCTACTTGGGCTGCGGGTATCAAGCTGTCTGTGCAGCAGGACTCCGCAGTAGACATATGCAGTGGGAAGAGCCAGTGTGGGCAGGCCTGGGCTGGCTCCCTTGGTAGGGAGCTGCTGTTTGCCAGGATCTCCATCCCACGACACCTTCCGTAGAAGGGAAGAAATGGCTGGAGGGGAATCTCCTTACCTTGTAAGGCAGACTCCGAGTCCGACCCGGGCCTGGGTGCTGGACAAGGCAGGCGGGAGGCAGGCACACGCAGGAAGAAGCGCAGATCTGTGGGCTGCAGAAGGAAAAGGAGGAGAGGGAGAGGCCCTCATAGTAGGGGCAGGCCCACCGGCCTCGGGAGAATGATGGCCTGCCCCCTCCCGGCATCCTCTGCAAGTTCAGCCCAAGTGCTTGAAGCTTTTACCAACTTCTTAACCTTCCTCTCCTACCCACCATCCAAGTCGAGAGGACGAGGACGAGGGTAAATACACTTTTCTCATCTGTTTTACCTGGACAGCCTCATGGGGCTCAGTGTGTCAAGGTGAGTGTGGGGCCTCTAGACGCTCCCGGAGCTCATCAGCTACAACCAGAGAAGTCCTGTGTCACAAAGGAAAGTGGTTTGCACTGAACACCCAGTCAGACAAGCGCCCAAACATCCGAATGGAAAGGGTGCACTCATGGGATTGGGTAAGCATAATGTCGCTTCTTGTACATCTGAGTTCAACTGGGAAAAATCCCATCCACGAATGCCATTTTCATCGATTAGATGAGAACCAAGATACTTCTGTAAAAATAAATGCTTTTTTTCTTTAAACGAAATTGGCAATTTGCCTTAAAACTGTGATTGAAGTAATTCTATTCTATTTGAATAATGTTGGGAGATAAAAACCCTCCATTATGCCTTTTTTAATGAATTATAATTCAGAAAAATCGCAATAATAGAAAATGGCATAAAAGGTACGTAGCGTAATTCTTATCTTGTATTCGCCACTAGTCTCCCTTGCTGGTTGTATGTAATTGGCATCTCTTCAAAGAGAAAGTGGGGAGTTTTACCGTTCCTGAATTCAAGTGGCAGTCATTTATTCATTTTAGTATTGAATGTGCTTTTTGAACAATATTTTTTCAAAACCGTAGCATAGTTTTTTACATGTAGGTGCTCAATTAAAAAAAGAACTATTGAGTGCACAGAAGGATTGATTTGAATTTCTGTGGTCATAGCCATGTTCCTCTGAGGATGTCAGGTGGGCGACTCTGCCTGCGTGCACTCGGGGCAGAAGGTATATGAGGCGACCCATCTGTTGGTTTCGGCAAACTTGGATGTGTCCAAATCACCTGGGGACCTTGTTACAATGCCGACTCGGAGCAGATCTGGGGGGAGCCCAAGCGCCCACATTTCACTCTCACAGGTGAGGCTGGTGCTGCCGGCACACTTGTTTTTTAAAAATTGTATTGATTCATTTCTTTCTATGAGCTGGAGAGACAGAGAAACAGAGAGATGGCACCTCCCACAGAGGCTTGACGCCACGGTCCCCACCCCAGCCTGGATCATCGTCACTCAGGGAGACCTCAGGACGGGGACTCAGAGCCCTCCCACGTGGTCAGCCTTGCAGAGCGTTGTGTTCTCCCGCCGCGGCTGCCCAGTCTCCGGGCACACTTCCATGGCGAGGAGCAGGGGCCGAGCACCTCACTGCCCTGCGCGCCGGCACGCCCGAGTGGCCACCGACGAGAGCTTGGTTCTCTTTCTTTCTCTTTTTAAAGGTATGACACGGAGGGAAGAGGACACATTACTTACCAGGAATTTTTAGAGAAATTGGGCATTAGCTACTCCCCGGCTGTCCACCGGCCCTGTGCTGAGGATTACTTCAACTTCATGGGTCATTTCACGAAACCACAGCAGATACAAGAGGAGATCAGGGAGCTGCAGCAGGGCGCTGAGAAGGCAGCCGTGCCCGCCAGGTGAGTCCGTGCATGCTAGGGGCGCGACCCGGGCCTTCCATGCTGCATTTACCCTTGCAGCTAAAGTGGTTCAAGATGGCACCTGCCAGGGGCACCAAGTCGTGAAATGATTGTGCTTGATCGCTGCCGATTCCGGAAGTCGGTGCTAAGTCAGCCATAAAGTAGTTAGCGACTGTCAGCCGGCCCCGCCTTACCTGCCACAAGCTCTTCGCACTCTCTCACACTTACAGTCACCCCTGCAGATGCCCTATCTCCTCATGTCCAACGCGTGGCCTGGGCCCTTCCCCACCCAGATAGAATGCAAGCTCCGGAAGGGTGCCCGTGACTGTCCTCGGTGCCTGACGCCAGCAGGCACCCGGGACATATGTATTCAATGAATGGATGACGTATCTGTTCACTCACCACCCTGGCTCTGGGGACTCGATCCTAAAGAAATACTTAGAAGAGGCCAGTGGCTTAGCAACTGGAAGGTGTGACTCGCACTGTCCCAATAGCAACCACAATGACAAAGGGACACCTTCTATCCCCACTTAGGGAAGGGTGTCCCGACAGAGTAGGAGATGGCATAAGCCTTTCAAAGTTTTTTGTGGAAAAACGAGAACATGTTGGTGCGGGGGCTAACTGGCAGTGAACTGGAGTGGTGCCACACGTGTGTGCATGTACACAGGACCGGGAGCCGCTGGGCGAAGGGAAGGCGTTGTGTTATATTTGGGTGGTGGGATTGTGCGTGACTGTGTTCAGAGTTTAAAACCAATCACTTGGGGCCAGCATGTGGAGTGGTGGTTGAGGTGCTAGACTCCCACATGACTGACGGTAGTTCAAGTCCCAGACCTGATGGCTTGCTTTCTCACTTCCTTTCTCTCTCTCTCTCTCTCTCTCTCTCTCTCTCTCTGTCTCTCTTTGGTGAGAGCACGTGCCCTGTCTGTCTGTCTTTGATGAGGGCACATGCCCTATGGCAAATTAGAAAATAATAATAAATAAAATTAAAGAATTCTAAAAAGAAAAAGGCAGTTTCTCATGCCATATTTTCCCCACTCATAACATGGGGAATGTGCCGTGTGTGATGTGACCGTAAAGGACCGAGACAGATTTTCTTGCAAATCCACGGAGGCTCATCCTCAGAGGCCCCAGGCACACCCCTGCACGGGGGCCCGCCCCACAGCCCCACGGCTTACGTTTGCCCCGTCCTCTCTTCCCCAGCTGTGCTGCTGTCTCGTCTGTCATTTCAAAAGGTGGGACTCACCTCTCTGTCCCCCACTCTTGTAGCACCTGAATGAATGAATGAGTGGGTGAGTTCTTGCTAAAGAATCCCCACAGGAAGTATGAATGCCAAGGACACAGAGGTGACACGGAATGGCCAGACGGGGTTAAAAAGAAGCGCAGCTGGACACCGCTGGGTTCTGTCTGAGCTCCTAGGTGAGACAGCCTGAGCAGAGAATGGAGTCTGTGAAATCCACGGTAAAAAGATCAGATGGGAAGAATCCAGTCTGTCGCGGAGTACTGAAGAAGTGGAATTTATCTTTACCAGACAGGGCTGGCTCATTACCCTTGCTGTCTACTCCTCTCCACCTGTGGGTAACGGGGCTCGCTGAGAGACCACGCCTCCCCGCTGTCACAGCCGCACCCCACCCGCGCGTTTCTGTTTGTCGCATGGACTCGGGTCTGTGCTGCCAGAACTTGGTGCCGTTAGATGGTGCATTTCAGGTCACCAGGCTGGGTTGCCGAATCCACTCGCCAGCCGACCCTCTCTGCCACAGTTGTGCTCGCTCACCACAGACGATAAATGCACCAGCTTGTCTCCTCACATCCTGCCTGGTACACGGTGCGAGGAACTGCACCTTGGGATGGGCTGTTTTAAAGTTCGCAGTCAGTGGGTGGTTCAGAGGCCCTCAAGATCCGATGTTTCTAGGAATTTCTGTTTCTACTTGCTCATCTATACTGGAACTCTGATGAAATTGATGGATAGGAGTCGGGTTCAAAGTGACCAAAGTTTGATATTTGCCTCTTAAACCTAAGGAGATTCATTTTGTCTGGGGCGTCCTAGCACATTTCAAAGGTTAGGAAAAATCCTTCCTTACACTTACATTTGTTTTCCATGCCTTTCTTTTTCTTTTGTTCTTGCTGTTGGGCTGAGCCCGAGTTGAAGACTGGCAGATCAGAACGGCAGTGGTGAGCTAGCCACGTAACCGAAGGCCCATTCTAAATGCGCCTGGGCCTGCAGGAGCCGAGTGGGGCTGCGAGATTTCCTGCAGTGCTGGGTCCAGGAGGTGCGTGGCAGGGGTAGGGAGGCTCCATGGCTGTCCTCTGGCCACGACAGTGCCCTCTTCAGGCTTCCGTCTCATTTCCAGACCCGAACCAGACATGCTCCCTAGCAGAGCGGCCACTGAGTGCTGGCAGCCACCCTGCCTGCGTGGCTGCTGTGCCCTCCGCGCCCCTCCGTACTTGCTCGGAGAGGGACATTACTGCCCAGAAGCCAGTCCAAGGGGCACTGAGCGCCTCGGTTTTCTAATCTCGCGTCTCTCAGAAAGCATTGGGGTTTTTATGCCTTCATCTGCTTTCTTTGTGGAGGATTAAGTGGAGCATGATGTTGTGATGACGAGGAATTATCTGGCCACCTGGGACTGAATTCCACCCTGGGGGAAGCCCAGGCCCCGCCGCTACTGGCTGCATTCTCCAACCCGAATGCCCCGTTTGTGTTGAGTGCTCGATGCTGTGGAGCCAGTTCCCATCGGAAACCAGCCAGAGAAGGGGTGGGTGGTCCTTGTGGCTGCAGAGAGAGTACCACCCTGCCCGCCCCAGCACCCCCCATTCACCTCCCCTCTCCTGGCTCCCGGCTTTTCCTTTCCTAGGATTGTGTTTTCCAGCCATGCTCAAGGAACTGTCCCCGCGCACAGATACCTGTCTGAGGGGGTAGACAGTTCGTTGTTTTTTTTTTTTTTTTGGAGAGGTTTTTGCTATAGGGCGCGTGCGCTCGCCAGACAGACAGGAGACATAGAGATAGAAAGCGAGAAATCATCCCCCAGGGGGGATGGCCACGCCGCAATCCCTTCTCCTCCATTCTCCTCCTGGGATCTTGGGCACGCACACACACGCGCCTGGTGTGAGTTTAAGCCACCGGGTCCGGGACACGAACCGCGGTCGACTACGTGGGAGTCCAGCGACATAGCCATTACGCTAACTGCTGGTCCTGACAGTTCATGTTTTCCCACTCCACAGCACATTCTTCTCCCCAAGGAAAAGCCATGGCTGAGAGTCTGAACCCAGCGGGCAGGCACATTGCCAGGTTGTTAGAGCTCTTCAGAGACCTGGAGAGCTAAAATTAGAGAAATTGCAATCAAGCCCAAGGTTATTTAAAGATTTCCACACTTTTTAAAGTCTCTTAACAATAACTTTTTAAAGTCAGGGGAGAATTTCCCTGGACTGAAAACTGCATCCTAGAGACTTGAGTACATTCTGCAAGAAAGTTGGCTCCGGAGCCGGAACTCCAGAAGGACGCCCGCGCCTCCTGTGCTCTGAAGGAGAGGCCTGGCCTGGTCCTCACCTGCCATTGTCCCGGACACCGTCCCATCCCTTCTCTAAAAAGGAGGAGATGATACCCCTTGCAGGGTTGCTGGGGACACCGGGCGTGACAGTGGCCGAGTTTCCTCACAGTAAAAGTGCCTGTCTACACCCTCACTCACTGCCTGCCCCCTGCTCCTCCCACGCCGAGCCCCCTGCTTCTCAGTCCTGCCCACGTGTCACCTTCCCAGCAAGGTCGGCCTGCACCTCCCTAATTGGGGCTGCGCCCTGGCCACCGGGGGCGTCCTCCATCACCTTAACTGGCCCTTGTGTGGACCTGCTGACCTTCCGTGTCTGCCCCTTGTCTTGCCTGCGCTGGAATGTCCACTCCTCAGAGCCTGCCTCAGTCACTAGATGCGCCCGACCCTGAGAGCAGCCCCGGCACGTGATAGGTGCTCAGCCGTGTCTGCCGAGAGGGAGCGTGTGCTTCGCGCCTCTGCAAGATACCATTTTCTGAGATTCTCAGTTCCATTTCCAAAGTACCAACCCTAGTAAAAAGACAAGGTTGTAATTTCTCTAATGTAGTTTTGCTAATGATAATAATAATAAAATGATAATGATAGAGACTTATCCTTTTTTTCTGGGATACCTTTTAATGTAAGTGTTACACCAAGGCTGTAAAACATCTTCCAAATTAACTGAGATGCGCCATCAAATCATCGCAATTAGAATGATCATGAATCACTTGCTTTAAAGAAATTATTCACTTTGCTGATTTTAGGGTATGTCTGAAATGTATTCTCTTTTAGGGATAAGCTTATAGACCACTACGAAGAGATCAGCAAAGAACTGGGCAAGCTCGATAAGTCCAAAGGTGGCTACGTGTCCGTATGCAGGGTTCGGGATGAAAAAAAAAGCTGTCCTCTCGAGGAAGAGGAGTTGACCGGTCTCCTGCACAGGTACATTTTGACTAGGTTCACTGTGCTTCTCCTTGTACCAAAAAACACATTGGTGAGTTGCTTTGGTTTCTTCTTGTAATTCCTCTCAAACAGTCTTTTTCTTCTCTTTTCTCTTCTTTTCTTTCTTTTTATTTTCTTTTTCTTTTGGGGGGGGAGGTTTTTGCTATAGGGCGCATGCACTGGCCAGAAGGACAGAGAGACAGAAAGCGAGAAATCACCCTCCAGGGGGAATGGCCACGCCACAATCCCTTCTCCTTCATTCTCCTCTTGGGATCTTGGGCACGCACGCACATGTGCCCAGCATGAGTTTAGGCCACTGGGTCTGGGACTCGAACTGCAATTCAACTGTATGGGAGTCCAGTGACATAGCTGCTATACCAACTGCTGGTCCCTCAGTCTTTTGATACAGAAATGGCTTCTGCGTGTTCCTCGTGTCTGGAATGCACTTGGCTGGGTTTGCGTCAACCCTAAGCAAGAAGAGAGCAGTCAGACCAGTGCGGGCCTGCCCCGTGCGGCCCACATTTCTCCAGCAACATGGCAGGGGTCAAGCGGGTCTGTGGGCTTGTGGTGGAACTGACGCCCTCTGCCTTCCTCTGCCCTCACTTCCCTCTGCAGAGTCAAGGGTCTGGCGCTCACCCGGCCTTTGTGCGGCTGGCTGTGTTTCTAGGTGACAAGTGTGTGCCGCTGCTCTTGATGTATACTCCAGGCAGGGCCTGTGGACTTCTACCAAGAAGGTGTGGCTTTCACCCCGTCCCGCCCTCACAGACTCCCGCACCCCCTGCCTCTGCCATCTGTGGGCACACAGCTGCTTTGCGTCCACTCACTGGCCGTATCGCTGTGTCCCAGTGTGGGTTCGGGTCACAGCCACGGTGTGCATGACTGTGACCGGCTGAGCACTCGGCCTTCCTGTGAGCACCTGTCCCCAGAGTGAATTGTCTCACTGTTCTGCCCACTTAGTCCTGTGCACTTACCCTGTGAAGGCCCAGCTTACTCCGCTGTGGAGTCCCTTTCCAGAATGTTCAGACACAGCCTCTAGTCTCTCAGCCTCGTCTTCTCGCAGGTGGCCTTTTTCATGTTCTTCAAGTCTCAGATGCTTCCCTCACTTACTTCACTCATGAGCTTCCCTCTCCTGGTCTTTCTGAAACTCCTGTTGTTACTGAGCATTAAGCCACCTACACCATTTCCGGGCACATCTTCAAGTCTTTCCTATTTTACACCTTTTCTCTCCTTCTCTCCCGCCTGGGTGAGTCCTCAGCTCTCATACTTGTGTTTCTGCTTACCCGGGTTGGGTCTCTGCATGTTCCTTTCTTTTTCTTTTCTTTTCTTTTCTTTTCTTTTCTTTTCTTTTCTTTTCTTTTCTTTTCTTCTCTTTTCTTTTTTCTTTTCTTTTCTTTTCTTTCTTTCTCTTTTTTTATTTTAGATAGGATCCCATAATTTATAGATGCATTATTCCATTTCTCTTAAGACGTTAAAAATAGATTTAAAGAAAAAGTCTTCTTTACCTAAGAAGTCTCTTTGCAACGTTGCTCTTTAAAAGCAATCTTCATGTACTCGCCTCCCTCAAGTCTGTGCTAATGCTAGGAGTGGAGCCAGCTCCCGACACCACGGTGATGTGTGCTCAGGAAAGGCAGAACCCCACATGGCGACTATGGTTTGAATCCCGGGCCCAGTTTGCCTGAACCACGCCAGGCACGTGTGTAAGTGCCCGGGACCCAGCGGGCACGGTATCCGAGAGGACCTCGGTGCGGCCGGGCCCTGCAGAGCGCACGGCTCTTTCTTGACCTCTCGCAGCTTTTGCACGCGTGTGCCCGCGCTGTATCATGAATGCAAAGAAGCAGAGTGGGGTGCTGAGATATTCGACGTTCTGTGCAGGGGGTGGGCGTTGGGCTGAATTAGAGGGGAACCTGTCACGTGACTTCCTTAGGGGACTTCTAGTGTTAATGTCTTTAAAACTTGTTCTTGGGACCAGCAGTTAGCGTAATGGCTATGTCGCTGAACTCCCATGTCAACCACTGTTCGAGTCCCAGACCCGGTGGCTTAAACTCACACCAGGCGCGTGGGCGCCCAAGATCCCGAGAGGAGAATGGAGGAGAAGGGATTGTGGCGTGGCCATTCCCCCTGGGGGATGAATTCTCACTTTCCGTCTCTCTGGCTCTCTCTCTGTCTTTCTGGTGAGCGCACATGCCCTATAGCAAAAACCTCTCAGAAACAAAAGCCAAACAAACATTTGTTCTCTCGGGCTGGCCAGATTTACTAGAGGATAGAGTTACCAGGTAAAATACAGTATCCCCAGTTAAATTCAAACTTCAGGCAACATATAATATTTTTAGTGTAACATATCCCATTTGTCTGTTGTCGCTTGCTTACCAAATCTGACAGCTGGAACTGGGAGGACTCTGAACTACTGTAGCACCCTAGGAGGACTGGTGGAAGCAGGCCGGCAGTGCCGACAGCCAGGTGCTGGGCTGGATGCCAGGCCCTACTTTCAGGACCTGAGCACCGCCTTCTCCAGGAAGGGCTCTGCAGATGTGATGCCAGGGTCTCGAGATGGGTGTTCTCCTGGATCATCCCGAGGGGTTCACAAATGTCCTCGCAGGAGGAAGGCAGAGGGAGATGACATGGGCAGGAGAGGAGGCCACATGGCCAGGGAGGCAGAGATGAGAGGGACGCAGCCAGGAGCCAAGAAGGCAAACAGCACCAGAGCTGGGAGAGGCCCAGGACACATTCTCCCGGAGAGCCCCTGGATGAGCGTGGCCCTGCCAGCGCCTTGGTTTGGCCTAGCGAGGCTGATTTCAGACTTCTGGTGTCCAGAGCTGTACCCTAATAGATGCCACCAAGCCCGGTGATCTCGTTACAGCGCCCCAAGACCTGAGAGGGCAGAGTGTGACCTTCCACTTTTCTTTAAGAGTCAGGACAGTGCCCTCCAGTCCCGAGCCGCTCGCCACCTCCAAGAACCAGGCTCCAGACCTTCTATTAGGACGGAGGGCACCGTGA